TTATTTGTTATTACATATATTAGTTTGGTTTCAACTCGGCAATCGTTACTAGTGCGATTGTTTTCGTTCCATCCATCAGAACTCGAACAATTTTGTCTCTCGTCGCAAAGTACATCCCACGTCTATTTCCTCATTGTTACCGTCATCATTCCGGTAGGAATGCATCGGAATCGTACTTGACTATGTGTGAGTGGGCCGGTATCTATTGATTCATTTTTTGAGGTCAACAATTTCCATTAAAAACACGAGAACAAAAAATTTTTAATGAAAAAAATTTGGAATTCCTAAGAAGGTTTTAAAACTGATAATAAATTCAAAATAGGGATTAATTTGGCCGTGTATGTATTTGGAATAAGCTGACTATAAGAAAGAATTAAATTGTGCCAATTCAAAAACAAGTGATGAGATACAACAAATAAATAAAAGGAAAAACGAAAAACGGTAAGTTATGTGAAAGGAGCTCAATTTTTTAAAATAAAATTGAATGAAGATAGAAAGGCTCATTTAGCCCGTGTGTTATGGCCATCATTTTGAGAAAATTGAGTTTTGAATAATAATTTTTTTAAAAAATGTATGACTAAAAAGTAGGAAATTTTTTTGAATTTACGTGTAAAATATTATATTGTGTAAATATATAATTAAAATTAGTACGAAAATTAAAGATTTTTGAAATAATAATGGTCAAATGAATGATTAATGGGTCCACGTGATATGGTGGGAAACAAATTGAATCCAGATGGACTCCATTTGGGAGGGGGTGGGACCGTGGGCGTGAAAAATATTCATTTAAAATGATTTATTTAAATATATTTTTTAAAGAGAAATATGAAAAACACGTGTAACAATAAAATTCCTAAAGTACCCCCAGCGTATGTTGTGCAAATGAGTCTCCAATATCGAGGTGTAACACTAGATTACCGAGATTTTAGCTTGTTCCATTTCATTAACACAATCATTGTTTGGCCCCATTTTGGAAAATTTATAAATGAAAAACTGCAGTTACGGTACCAACCTTTTATTTAGTTACAGACTTTACTCAAACCTTTCATTCGCGTCACCCACGATACCAAATCTTTAAAAAATTCGCACCTAAAGTTTGAATGGATGAAAACCATTAGTTTGACCGTTAATAGATTCAAAAAATTGATTTTGACCAATTTTAGAAGATGCAAAATATTAATTTTGAAATAAAATAAAACAAATAATCAAAAAGTTATCCACCCCACCCACCCTTGTGGCAACCAAAATTCACCTAAAAATGGTGAAGGGTTCAGTGAAAAAGCTTAAAATAGTAAGAAGAAGACTTTACACCAACAGACCTTATCAAGAAAGGATTCTAAATGTAGCTGAAGCAATAACATAAATTGTCACTGCCCATAAGTTTCATAGAGTAGGCATAAAAAAGCCCCAAAAATGGAAAATTAGCCATTAATAAAGTCTACTTCTCAAGAAATCTGTGTAGAAAATGAGGCTAAATTGAAATCCAAAAAAACCAAGAATTTATCCAAGAGAAACCTAAGGGAAATCTGGCCACACCACCCAACGCCAGCATTTACAACGGCACCATTCAAGAAACTCATCAAAATTTCTACCACCATTATCAAACCTATCAAGAAACTCCAAAACTCCTTAGTCAAAATTTCCACCACCCAATCGCCCATCATAGCCGTCTCCAATTTCCAATCAAATTTCTGAAATCGAACAAAAATGTGAAAATGAATGACAATTTTTAGCAATTATTTCATCCATCTCAATTTGCAACTCTTTCCACATCTCAATAGTCATTCACCTACAAAATTTCAAACTGTGCTTTGACTAGCGTTAATGGGGTAGAGTAGGGGAGCTTTTAGCCAGTGCTGCTGTCGTATTTTAGTGTTTGGTTTTGGGGTGGGGAGTGAGGAGTGAGGAGATTTTGGATTTTTTTTACATATTTTGTTTTATTTTAATTCTAAATTATTATTTTATCCCTTTTAAAATTGGTCAAAATCAATTTTTTGAGTCAACTAATGGTTTCTATCCATTCGGACTCCAGGTACGACTTTTTTAAAGGTTTGGTACCGTGGATGCAATTTTTCCATTTATAAATTTTGGAATAGAGATTAATAGGAGAATGTATAATTGAAAAATAAGGAATAATTGCAACAAAAACTCCAAACATTTGAAACACTAGCAGGCTTTCCCCAAACATTTGATTTGTTGCAGCCGTCACCCTTCACATTTCCAAATGTTGTAGGTGAAGCCATTTTGGACATTTTTCACCCACAATTCTATCGATTGATCAAAAATTTAACTTTGACCAAATTTTTAATATTTTAAAAAGAGAAAAAGAGTAACTTTTCATTTATCACATTAAATAATTAAATTAAAAAATAAAACACACACACGTTCACATACACAATCGTCTTCTTCCTCTCACCACTCACACATCCCCACCCCCACCTCAAAGCCTCCATTTGGATTAGATTTCTTCGTTTTCTTCAAATTCGCAAATAGGAAGTTGATAAAATTTGCAAGGCAGGCTCCAGAGGAAAAGGTTGTTTCACCTTGTTTAAATTAGCATAAATCTTCATGGTCCTAGATTTCGATTTGATCAAATTGGCATAAGTGATTTTCAACCCCGCACTTGTTCATACATGTTTAAGCTTGGTGCAGAAAAGCAAGAAATTCTTGACTTCGTTGAATTTGAACCCCCAAAAAAACTCCTAATCAGATGAAGAAAGTGCTCCATATCTGAAGAACTCAAATTTGAACTAAAAAACATCAAATCAATTTCTTGTATCCATAAGTTACTCCAACTCTGCCCTTTTTCGAGCAATAATTTTTTCACTAATTTCCTTCTCCCTCCACAGAATTCCCATTTCTTCATCTTCTTTGCTGCCAGTTTTTACCCTTCCAATGCCATATATTTTTTGTCGGCCGGTGGTTGGTGGAGGTGGAGGTGTGGATTTTGGGTTTGAGGTGGCTTATTTTTTAATTTAATTATTTAATGTGATAAATAGAAAGTTGCTTTTTTGTCCATTTTTAAAATATTAAAAATATGGTAAAAGTTAACTTTTGGGTCAACTGAAATTGTAGATTGAATCTGTCCAAAAGAGCTTTACCTGCAACGTTTGGAAATGGGAGGTAACGGTTGCAACAAATCAAAGATTTGGGGAAAGTTTGCCAATGTTTCAAAGATTTGGGAATTTTGCTGCAATTATCCCTAAAAATAATGAAAAATTTTAAATTTATATATAATATTATTTTATTTAAAAAATGTGTCATTAAAATTAAGAAAGAGAAATTTTAATGGAGGCCAAATAAGGACAAAATATGGTGCCATAAAATCCATCACGTCATCTTTAGTTCAAAAAACAATGCTATTTGTACACCGGGGTTGACGTCAACCCCGGTGTACAGCCCCCCTCACAAGAGGGGGGCCCACGATGTGTCAACCCGGGTGTAAAGTAACATGTCCCTAGTTCAAAACTGTTAAGCCACCTATTCAACTGTAAAGCAAGGTGTACATATCTTCTGTAAACTATACAAATAGCTTAGCTTAATTTATTAGGGAATTGTGCTCACATGACAATTTCTTTTCACGATACAGAGACAACATGTAATATATGTTTCTTCCATAGTTTCTAGACCAAAGGGATCCCAAAATGCTAAGAAAAAAATAAGAACCTCATTCCAAATAAATTTTAATCTCTTCAAAAATGAAATTAGAAAACTACCTTGAAGTTTAGTCTAATAGACCTCTCTCCATCTCCATCATGTGTTCTGCATTAAATTATGTCATAGAGGGTAGCAGCAGTTCAAAAAATATGTAGAGACAATTTCATCATCTGTAATTTCCCATTGCTAACGTCTCCACAGTTGACAACAAACATTAAAGTACGCATACCCGGGTAAATCAACAATGTAGCAACATCTCAAAAGAGAAAGGAAATACAAGCACAATGGCCCAACCCAGAAGAACAATACAAAAGGAATCAACCCATAACAAGAGATTCATAACAAACCAAGAATGAGCATCTACATAATCCCTAAATCAAGAAAAAAGTGGAGAAGAGACCAACCATCCATTCGTAAGCATGATTTGCAGCTGCAATTCTTTCAACCCTTAACATGAGATTCATAACAAACCAAGTATGAGCATCTACATAATCCCTATATCAATAAAAAAGTGGAGAAGAGACCAACCATCCATTCGTTAGCATGATTTGCAGCTGCAATTCTTAAGACAAACTGGACAAGCCTCAGCAAAAGCTTTTTCCAACGTCTTCCGGTACCTAAAATATCAGGAAGGAAATAAAGGATTTTAACTCCGGCAATCAGCAGAAACACACACGGGTAAATTGGATCTGCGAAGTGTTGAAGACAAGTCTTAAATGAATACATGTTGCCCCTCTCTTACCATTTAAGCTTTTAAATGAGTTGGTTAACATGGTATCAAAGTCAAGCAGAAGACCTGAGTAAAAGTCTCCAATTCATGGAAAACTGTACATGGGATTCAATTTGCACGTGGGAGTGTGTTGAAGATAACATTTAACTGAACAGACATGGCCTGCAGAACCACTTGAATTCACAGATTATAAATACATTCTTATTTCCAATTGACTAAAATATCATAATATTATTTCGCTCATTAGTCGTTTCAAGCTTATTTCCAATTGACTAATTTATCAAAACTACTCACAAGTAGAAATTTTACAAGCTGTTATATTAAAAAAACAGCACATCAAAAAACTATTACTTATATGCAAAATCAAAATAATTATTTATCAATACAAATGAAGCTCAGCCAAACAAAGATACTTGTACACTGAAAAGTCCATAAAAAGATGTTGACTCTGGTATCTTCTCATGTTCTTTGTCACATGATTCTATTATTACACATAGCGAACCGGTAGTCCGGTACAACAATTCACCTTGCAGACAAACCATTACTAAGTGCAAACAATTTGTATCCCAATAAAATCGGCATTGCAATCAAGTAAATAACTAACATCAAAGTCTCAGTTCCTAATCCCCTTTTTCATTTCTCTTCTTTCCCACCATCTCTTTTGGCCTTTTTCTGTTTCAAGATGGCTAAACTTCTTGAATGTTGCTTCTGCTTCCCATAACCGAGTTTTGAAGTCTTTTTTCCAACCTACGAACCTAAGCTTGAGTTTTCGAAGCTCAACACCAGGATGCAACTTTACCCGATCTGATGCAACTTGAGCCTGATCGCCATCCTCATCGTACATGCCTTCAAATTGTTTGATTATGTGATTGGTTGAATTACTTATGATATGTGGCCCTGAGCCATTGCTATCCAATGAGTTCACCATACCATTTCCATGAAACAATCCAGTTCTTGTTGTTGCATCATCAACATTTCGTTTTTGACGTCTTGAAGTAGCATCGCATTGTCCAAATTTCCCGATAATGCTTTCGTCTGTGGGATTTTTCTTTGCTGCGGCTAGACATGTCTGCATCAAACCAACCAAATTAGTGGAACTAAAATACTGAAAACACCTAAATTCAGTTTTTTTCACCATCATTGAATGAACTGCACGAATATGTTTGGTACCGAGTACTCGAAAAAACAGCTAACGGGATTTTAATATCTTTTTTCCCTAAAACCTGTCCAGCCAAGAGGAGGCCAGTCTATCAGACATGTCATAAATATTGTGCGCAGGGGAGTCGAGGCAAGCTAAAGATGAAGATGTAGATTAGACCTAGAACTCACTTGTATACAAGTCAATTGATCTTGCCAGGTTTTCTCCAAGGATTTCATCTTCTCCTCGTATTCTCGCCATTTATCCTCCATTTTCTGAAGTTGCATCTTCAAAGCAGAGTTTTCCTCGTTCTTCTTCCGCAGTTTTGCCTCCGTCCTCAAAGCTTGCTTTTGAAGATCAACAAGAGCAAAATGCTGAACCAGAACGCAATCCTAACAACAAAACTCAGATTGTGCTTTTGTTAAAAAACTAGAATGGAAAATAGTAAGTTTTTCTTCGTCAATTATGTATTTTTAGTCTTAGACACCTTGACATTGTTCAAAGATTAACTAAGCATATTTGAAGATGCTAGAAATTCCATTACATATACCTTCTTGTCTGTGTCTTCAGGCAGGTTTCTGACGTCCCTCTCATTCTTGATTTTTATTTTTTGCACGTGTCTTATGTGGTCGAAATGCGTTCGGGACAACCAACCTCGAATTCCTGCGAAATACAGTACATATGCATAACAAAGATGTCGTGTCCAAAAACAGGATATGATATTTTTGCATTCAACATTCTATTTTACCAGATTGCAAGCATACGACTGCTGCATTCCTATGTTTTATTGCTCCATATGCAAAATGCTCTCTAATGTGTTTCTGTATTACAATGATTGCTGTCAGTCTCTTAATTCGGTACCAATGTTCCTTCCTTGAATTTTCACCGCGAACAACTGCTAAGGCATAAAAATAAATGGAGTTTCCACAAATAAGTACGACTATTCCAAGCTAATGAGCTACTGTCCACATTATATTTTCCGTGGATTATGCTCTAATCCGTTCTTATTCTTTGAGAGCAATAATAAACATGTGAAAATCAAAATAAGCAAAGAAAATACACAGATTTATAGTGATTCATCCTCATTCACCACTACACATTTTCAGCGCAATGAACTGTAAACTCGTCGGTATAAAAATCTCTATAATAGGAGGAATATTAGCGTGACCAGCACTCGACGGGCTCCACATAATCTAACATAAATTAACCTCAAAAAGAAAGTATTTGCTTTTCGGGCTCTTGAATTTATTGCAGGAAATCCTCTACGGATTGTATTGAATCATTTCTGATCCAAAACTAATTCAATCACGACTTTATACACAATTTTCTTATTTTTATATCTTTCTTCATAAATCAATTGGCCTTGCACATAAAGAAGGGGGTGGGGTAAGCTTATGAAGGTCATCCCTCACATAATCATTAATACAGTAGGGATAACATGGGATTACATGATTGCAGTGCAATTGCTCCTCTTCTAAGCTTACTGTAGTAGCATCTTATTTGATGGCCTCTATAGCACTTTTGAATTCTCAATATCCCTTTTTGGGCGGTTTCTATTGTATTCTCCAGTACTCCAATCTGTAATCATCAAACTTGTAGCATCAGAGAAAAACAAGGAATTCTTGAAACATAATTTCACCTGTTCCTCTCCCAATTTTCGGTGTGGAGAGACTTGGAATCAAGAAATCTGTAGGATAAACCTGATTGTCTAAAAACTTATTTATTTAAATTGTGTCCTCGACATATTTCGATTAATAGAGTCCAGGGAGATAAAAGCTCTCTGATTTAACAGTTGATTCAAGATTTATAAAAGGGAAAATCAAGAAAACAGTTAGAAATTTAGCAAGAAATTGTTTCACCTTACCCGAATACCATTAATCTCTGCTAAAGCCGGTTCTTGAATTGACTCGACGAACTTGAAGTCAAAAGGCAATTGCTTTCTTGCCCGAGGTAGCCGGGCCCTGGACACCGGACGAACTGGTAATGCCGGCAGCGCATCTTTGGGCTGATCCTCTAATTGCTGGATTTTCACCAGCATCAACTCCAGTGAACTAAGAGTAGTCGTCATTGGATTATGTACTTCTCATTGACAGTGACAGTGCATGTATTTTGGTGTGGTATAAATTTAAAGATGACAGACACAAAAAAGTTTGATGTAAATGTTTTTGTGTTGGTACAGGAATAGGAACAGGAACAGGAAATAAAGGTGGACTTAAGGGTGGGTTTTTGGCTTACTTGAGGTTTCCGGAAACCCGATATAGAGCTTTTATTGGATTTGGAAAAGGAAAAAAAAAAGAGATTGCAGTCTGCATGTGTCTGTCTACTGTCAAGACAGCTTTGCTTTTGCTTTGCCTGAATTTCAAATTTCAGGTGGGTCATCTTCGGGTGGTGGTGACAAGATATTGTGGTATTCATTGACATCATTTTCTACCCGTCTCATATGGCAAATATACTATTGGACAATTAAAATTTTTTGACAATTTTTCCACCCAATCAAAACTTGACACCACTTGTTATATCAACAATAATGTCAACAAAAGAATATACACGTAACATTTTTCATTCATTTGAGATCCAAATGGGACTGAAGAATATGAATAATGGCCGAGGTAGAATTTTTGGAATGGGGTTGAAAAATGTTTATACATGTTAATTTTATTTTAAAAAATATCTATCAATTTAGCTACCCACTGCCCCCATGTGGTTCACCCACCGAAGAATTGAGAGTAACAACAAAGAAATGAAATAAGAAACTAGAAATTCATAAGCAAGGGTTTATAGTGATGTAAAACGGGGTGAATAAGATTAATTGGTAAGGATTAGGATTGACACAGTTGGATCATCATCCACTATCCAATTAGTTGTTTTATTATTATTTTTGATACAAAACAGTTGAGAGATAGAATCTCACATTTAATAAAAATTAAAATATAGACCAATTTATAAGGGTTTGAACTACTCCTATTAACAAGATTGACATTTTAAGATGTAATTACAAGTCTTAACATGATATCAGAGTCCACTAAACTTTAATGAGCAATTCGATCCGATTAAGACCAAAAAAATGAGCACATAGATTTCAAAATTGGTTTGTTCAAACGAGCCACCATCTTGTCGGGGTATGTTAAGGGATAGAATTCAACATCTAATAAATATGAAAATATAGACCAATTTATAAGGGTTTGAACTACTCCAATTTAACAAGATTGACATTTTAAGATGTAACTACAAGTCTTAACATGATATCAGAGCCTACTAAACTCTAACGAGCAATTCGATCCGATTAAGACCCAAAAAAATGAGTACATGGACTTCAAAATTGGTTTGCCCAAACGAGCCACCATCTTATCGGGGCATATTAAGGGATGGAATTCAACATCTAATAAAAATGAAAATATAGACCAATTTATAAGGTTTGAACTAATCCTCTTAACAATATTGACATTTTAAGATGTAACTACAAGTCTTAACATGTTATCGGAGACCACTGAGCTCTAACGAGCAACTCGATCCGATTAAGACTCAAAAAAATTAGCACATAAGAATTCAAAATTAGTTTACTCAAACGAGCCACCGTCGGGGAATTTAAGGGATGGAATTCAACATCTAATAAATATGAAAATATAGACCAATTTATAAGGGTTTGAACTAATCATCTTAACAATATTGATCTTTTAAGATGTAACTGCAAGTCTTAACATGTTATCAGAGACCACTGAGCTCTAACGAGCAATTCTATTCGATTAAGACTCAAAAAAATTAGCGCATAAGACTTCAAAATTAGTTTGCTCAAACGAGCCACCATCTCGTCGGGACATGTTAAGGAATAAAATTCAACATCTAATAAAAATGAAAATATAAACCAATTTATAAGGATTTTGATTACTTCTCTTAACAAGGTTGACCTTCTAAGATGGAACCTCGAATCTTTACAAAAACTACTTGATCAATCTCGATTTGGTCGCTGCAAGCTTAGATTTGACATGGTTCACCCCCAAAATAAAGTCAGTGCGATGTTGGACCATCTTGCGCTTTTGAGGTCCGACCTAATTTGATGTCACTAAGATGTGTTTGTGCTCTCAGTTATATTACTTCTATTAATTAACAGATAGTTTCTTTAAATCATGAATCAATCACATTAATTCATTGCATTGAGTTATTAGAATGGAGTGGGTTTGTTTTAAATCATTGGGATCTCAAGCTATAAGTAATTCCTCATAATCTACAAATTTGTGCTTCTCTATGAGAAGGTGGGGCTAATGATTAATGGCTATACCCAATTATTAATCTATTAGAACTCTTATCAAGCGTTAATTATGCTAATGATCTTAGTCACTTCAATTTTTTATAATTACATTAATGATGACTCGATAAAAAATAATATTAAATGTAACGTTATTTATTAAGCCAGATTTGATCGAAATTAAAGTCACGTTATATTTTCTCATTGGAACGTGTTTAATTCACAAGTACGAATTCTCAAATTTTGTTGGCTTGGCATAACGATGATACCAATTGGTAACACAACGTGACTCAATGACGTCATATAGGACTTAACATTATTATTTTAAACCGAAGTGATCATTAATGTAACATTTGGAAATTTCAGTGATTATTATCGTAAGAAAATTTTAATGACCATTGGTATAATCACTCAAAATCAGTGACCATTAACATAATTAACTCTCTTATCAAGCATTTGGTATACTGATCATTTACCTTATCAAATACGTAGCGTCGATGATTTTTTGTTTGGTAAAAAGGGTAATTGGAAGACTACGATTTTCGACCGACGGGTTTTGTTTCTTGCGAAAAATTATATAATAGAAACGAAAATTTGAGCTTTGGCAAATTTTATAAATAGTTTATAAAGTGGAATAGTAGGTGGATCCCATGAATTAAATACACGGTCGAAATTAACATTTGATTTTAATTGAATTTATAAACTCTTATTTTGTACATATTATTTGAAACTCGTTTTCATTGCACGTTCTTCTAATAAAATAATTTTATACGTAAACTCATAATTTTTTGATTTTTCAATTATACATTAATCATAAAAAAAGTTCACAAAACTATTTTTAAAATATGTACATCAAACGTCCCACAAAATTTGTATCCAAAGGGAGCCTAATTGAACAGATCAAAAGTGATTAATTCATGGAAAGTTGTCCCCTTAAATGTTTCCAAACTGCATAGAGAGTGATTTTTGACCGAGCAGAGTCATCATTGAGAGACATGTTGTCGCGTGGGATGAAATTCATTGGGTTTTACCAATGTTGCTGTAGTGCCTACACCTTTTATTATGCCAATTACCAAATTTCTATAATCTTTAAAAATGATAATAAAACATTGAGTAATGTTATTCATCCCCAGTGGACAGTGGGGATGAAAACACAGTCTAGTTGGCTGTAAATGGTAGGTAAAATGAAAGGTGAAATTAAATGACTTATTTAATTTCAGCTATCATTTAATGCCACATTATCGCCACTTAAACTGTATTTTCATCTCCAGTGGGGATGAATAGCATTACTCTAAAACATTAGAATTCCTCTGAATATAATAATCGAATGACGTAAACATGATCTAATTGAATCGAAGAAAATGTTGTTGGTGTTCGATCTTAAAGGTTATTTCGAATTCACTTCAAAAGCGATTAAATGAGCTTAAATTTTCATCAAAATCATAAGTACCTCGAATCATAATGCTTTGTTTATAGGCAAATAAAATTATGAACGATGGATTTGAGTTAGGTTGGATTTATTTCATTTTTAAGTTTTAACAATGATTGAGCATATTGTTGGACAAGACTTCAATCAATACAAAAAAGAAATAAAATAAAATACCACTTGTCAAACGGAAAGAATGTGTCTTTTGTCTAGGCGTGCCTTAGACGATCAACATAGAGTTGACCACCTTTTTTTCGGCGGAGTGTTTCTCTTTCATGTAATGCTTTCAATTAAAATCGTATATAAAAATATAATAATAATAATAATAATTAATTAAACATGTTGATAAATGATAATTTTTTAATTTCCATCTTGAACCGATCCCAATCCTGACGGTTGCCATCCCTATTATACCTATAATACCCTGTTATAGGATGTTTAGTTTGGAGGACCGGGTTGTTTGGACCTCTATCTAGTTTTCATTGGGGTCTTGCTCATCACTTTTGAGGACTGGGTTATAAGTTTTCTGGATCTGTACATTGGGCTGCAGCCTGTTTTTGTTAAAGTTTTGAGGACTGGATCATGTTGTTTGGATCTCCTTGGACTAGGTTCTCAGTCGTTTGGATCTCCCTCTATTTTTAGGATCAAAATTTAGTACTTTTGAACAAGAGGAAATTACAAATAAACAGGTGTTTAAGTTCTTCAATTCAAAAATCAGGTGTGAGATTTATTTAATCAAAAATCAGGTATTAATTAAATTATTAATAATATTATAAAATTTACCCACCTCAACCCCACTACAAACCCTAAATTATTTCCATCATCATTGTCATATACCATAAGCTCATTTTTCCTCCACCACCACCTCTCCATCCTCCACCCCAAACCCATTTCGACACAACCATCCACCCTTCCCCCAACACCGCAGCTCTAAAGCTACAAGTAGAGATGAGCTCATTTTTCCTCCACCACCACCTCTCCATCGTCCACCCCAAACCCATTTCGCCACAACCATCCACCCCTTACCCCACCACCGCAGCTCTAAAGCTACAGGTAGAGATGCACCTCAACAAGTTCTTCGACGGAAAGGGGCACAAGCTGGTTAGGAG